AGCTGGTCAGCAATTCCCCAAATTGGACAATTCCCTGATTTCTATGTTACTTTACAGGAATACTTGCTAATAACAGATTTTATATTCCTCAAGATAAACAATCCCAGCAGTTTGCTTCAGCTAAGAAAGGAAGAGGCTCTCTGCTTTCAGCTGGTGCCAGCTCTGTTTGTCATCTGAATTGAAAGCAGAGCAGAACTGTTCTGTCAGTCGCATCAGGCCCACCTACTTTTGATCAGTCTGTGAAAGACATAAAAGACATGAGTGTAAAACTCATTTTATAGAACTTACATTTTTCTAATTGAGACATGGCATAATTATTCTTGAAATACGCTTCTGTGCAGAAGATATTTGTAAGCAGCACCTAGGAAAAGAGTAAAAGTGAGTTGAATACTGGTGAATGAATTTCATTAACAAAACCATGTAGTAAAAATACAGTAATTTCAACTTGTAAAAGTCATTTTGTCTCCTGATGATGGAGCCCTGCACACCAGTCACGTACGGTGCAGCCTCAGCTGTCCCTGTGTCCCCAGAGCTGCTGAAAGTCAGGGCTGGGGTGACCCTTCACCCAAAACTGACTGAAAGACTGACTGGTGTTCAATCCAGAACTGGGCTCACACATACACACACAGAGTGAAGTCTCAAGGCCAAAACCAAAGGTAACTCAGTTTGGATTTGCCTAACGCTTGATTGTAGCAGATTTACTTGTCCTGTAGCATAATTGTTACCATGGAACTTTAAATGAGCTGCTATACCATCACTTTACTGCCATGAATTGTACTGAGTAAATACTGTTGTGATTCTATGTTACTATTAATGAGTATATGGAAAAGATTCAGGAGGAAGTGCATGGTATTAGGAGGTTTAGGAGAACATACAAATTTGTGAGAGCTCACAAATATCTCTGTATGTGTTAAAGAAGTATTTTTAATATGGCGATAGTGTGCAACTCAATGCTCAGAGCCCTGAGAAGCAACTGGCCACTGCACTCTTGCACCAATGGATTTAGCAGCATTCTGCTGTACTGTTGGCTTTATAGGAGTGTTTGCTGAAAATCCTTAGTGAACACGGTGTGTCCTGCATGCAGGAGCATGGCCCCTGCTGGGAATGCTGGTGCTGAAGGACACTCACTTCGTGGTCGTGGTTCCTGAGCCCGATGCTGATGGAGCGGCTCGCTCTGGAGAGGGCTGCTGTCATGGCATACAGGTTAATCACTACATCTGCCACTCTCTTCAGAACCAGCTGCTCGTCCACTATTGTCTAGAAGAGTAAAAATGATTTCTTAGCTTGTATTTTGTCAAATTAAAACTTTAACCAAACATTTTTGTTCATACTTTGCATTTCGTTTCAGATTTAATTAGCGCAAACAGGTTCTACCATAAATCTCAGAGTTTTGGGTTGGCTGTAGCCAACAGTAAAATTGCTGTGTCTAAAGCCACGTTGGTAGATTGCAAGAATCACTGAAATTTAAGTATCAAATATGTTCAAAAAATGTCCTGAGTGAAGTGCGATGTGGCAAGCCCTGGCCTGGTCAGGATTCTCAGAACATACCACATTAACTGCCATAAAACTGAAAATCCAGGCTATTCCACATTCACTCTCTCCTCTTGAAACTCCACCACTGTGCATGGCATTATGACTGATTGGTTTGCCACACAACAGGGATGGACATCATAAATTCAAAAGCTGCTGGGAGAGCTCTTCCCTCGGAAATGGGGAAGTGGATTCCAGGGGCTGCCCACAGAATAGGACTTAAAATAGTTGCTGCAGCAGGCAGGATTTGTGCTTACAGAAGTAGAAGAAAACAGCTAATTCACTGAGATTGCTGGTGGTTTGGGTTTTGTTTTAAAAACTTAAGTTATCCATTACACTAAGTATAGAATTTGTGTGCTTTCTCATATTCAGTGAGAAAATGTCATGTGAAGGAAGAAGTCCTGGCTTTTCCCAGACACACAATCCATTCCAGATTGTCAATGAGGCCTCGAGGATAAGACAACAGACAAAATAATAGTTACCTTGCCAAACCTACTTAGCAGGCCCCTAACTGTAGCTCCAAAATAATAAATGTTTTCTTCAAGTTTCTTGGCACTCTCCTATAAAACAAAACACAAAATAGAACAATTTAAGTACTTTTATAGGGGGAAAAAGCAGCACTCCCTCACTCCCTTTAAACGGGACACTAGATTTTCTCTTAGCAAGCACTAGTCATTTTTGCCATTGCCCCAGTTTGCTTCTGAAAGCCAGACAGGCACTATTCTTTCTTGATAAAACATGCATTAAAATTTTCTAAATTTTACTCTTGGTAATGTTTCAGTATAGGCTTATGCTTATAAAAATAATAGTTTGAATAGTTCTTCTCAACGTTTAGTTCTGCCCAGGCAAACCTACTCACACCCTAAGTGTTGCAGGCTATGGAAATCCTGAGAAGTGAAGATGATCTGTGAATTCACCAGCAGGCTCAAATTCTGGTAGAAGTAGGAAGCCGATGTCACCTTTGGCTTTTATTAACTCATAAATGCCACTAGTTCATTTTGCTGAGTCTTGTAACCTGAAGGGAAGCCAGGGGGTTGGAGCTCCTGAGGGAGCTGGCTCTGGGTGCCAGGCTGGTCAGAGTGGCTGTGGTTAAGGCCCTCAGCACACCTCGGCAGATCAGAGCTCCTCGTGTGAAGGAACAGCAACAGGAGTCCCTGCAAAGCCTTCTACCTGTTTGCCTGACATCCCTGACCTGCAGGACAGGCATACTGACAGCACAGTAACAATCATTTGCTTAGAGATTTCCAAATCACTGATACAACATCCTAGGAAAAACACACCTTGTCTTTTTGCTATGAATGTTAACAACCATGTGTGGTCATAAACATGACTTAAACATGATTAAGCAAATATGTGTTTATATAGTTCACAGAAATTCTTACCTATGTTACTCTTACCTTTGCTACAATTAAATAGGAAAAATCCTGTGTCTGAGTCCTGACCCTACTCTGAAGAGCAGCAACAGAGCATTGCAGAGACATAATATGGTAAAGGCTCAACTTACAGAAATTACTAAAATGGATATAAACCTGGATTTGATATAAATACAGACTTAGAGCAGACTCCATTTTACCTCAATATGTACCCAGACAATAGTTAAAACTAAGCTCTTACCCTGAAATGGTATAAACATCTGCTAACATTGGTAAACCTCACTGTTCCTAAGCACACACTGGTTTGCAAAAACAAGAGATTGCAGTTGTGGCAAGCAGCAAAGGGAAACAAATACGAAAGCTCTGGGACACAAGCACCGTGCCCCTCCCCTTACCTGGAGGCTGGGATGCACCACTCCACGGTCACCAACAAGTCCATAATCCACTTTTCTGCCCATTGTGTCTCGCAATCTGTTTATAAATTCCCCCAGTGCTACTCCCACATTTCCTTTCTTGATTTCTCTGAAACGTTGGGGGAAGAAGAGCTGTTAAGTAAATCTAACAAGGTTCAGATATAACTAGTTGAAATTCTAAATGCTTCAGCAAAACACCTGCAGTTTGCCTATAAATTGCCAAGTCTTGAACTATTTTACTGTGAAGTCTGGAGAAGAGTTATGGAGCCTTAGAAGTCATCAGCATGGGTCACCATATCCAGCTCCTCTCCAACAGCTCACAAGGAATGCCCCAGCCCAGTGCACCTACCCAACATGCACAACACAGCTGTCTTACCAATACAGTGTTACTGGTCTTGTAACAAAGATTTTACATAAGTTGTAATTATAAGATAAAATGCATTAAGGCCAAGATTCTTAAATCTATAAAGCATCCAATTAAAAAGACAGAAAGAGACCCCTATAACAATGAACAACCTTTTGGACAGGCAATACATTGAAAATATGCAGGTTTTTCCTACAGTTTCCCGTTATCTATAAAGTTATCAGATTCTGTTTAGTTTATTCAAAACTATTAACAATAAATAAGAACGTACTTAATTTTGTCAGTTAAGATTCTGCCTGCATGTTGCATACCCGTCAGTGCAATGTACAGTCGCAGAATTTCATTTGTTCCCTGTAAAAAACATAACAGAAAGCAAAGTCAATATCCAGTACTAAGTGGTTTTAGTATTTATAAAACCTAGATATGCTCTGTTACTATTTTGCATACTTTTCATTTCCTAAAACTGCTGTCAGTGTGTAAATCACTTGCCAGTGTAAAATCGTTTGCCACGGAATGTTCTAAAATGCATTTGGACTCATAAGATAAAAATCTTTTGAGAGCCCTGTGAAAGGTGGAAGATGATCATCACCTGTAAGGAAAACGCTTGTGCCAGAAGCTGCAGCCCAGTGAAGCTGCCTGGAGTGGTGACAGGAGTTGGGGAGGCAGAGGACACAGGCAGCAAGCAACAAAGGCTAAACACTCTGTGAATTACGTTTTTTAAGTATATGTATGATTTTAGAGACAGGTTCTTTAGCTAACTGTAAAGTATAGAATACTGAGTGTTTTCCAAGCAGGTCTGTTGTGCCACTCTGCCCTTTCAATTGGTCTAGTGTTACAGTATTACCTAACATTAAGTTATTATGATCTCAATTTAAACTCTGATTTCATGTAGCAGAAGCTGACCCCCTGATTCTTAAACACACGAATATATCACAATGAAAAAGAAATCAGATTAAATGCATTTAGAGTGACAAATGTTCTGCATTGTTCCAGTGAAGGAACATTTAAATAGTTGTAAAACTGCTCTAAATGAGCTTTATTACAGGAATTCCAATGGTGTGGTGCTTTGATTTTTTAAACAAGGCTTCCTATAACCTGTCCAAAAGGTCTTCTCTGCTTCAGCCAGTCCAGGACATGCTCCAGTCTAATTTTAGCTGTTCCTATTCGAAATGTCTGTCAGACTCAGGACCACCCAAGCCTGCAGGGTGATGGCCTTGCAGGCTGGCTGGGTTTGCTTTTTAATCAGGGTTGGAACTGGCCTCTCCTTACAGCAACAAAACAAAGGGTTTTCCAGGAGCCTCCAGGTGACCGACTCCATGCACTGAGCTGCAGGTGGGGAATTTGCATTAATGGGCAGTTGAGATCTTTGCTCTCCTGGCACCAGGGCTAAATGGCCCACCAAATAAAATCAAGCCTGGCAGTCTGACTCAGATGTGCAGAAAAAAGTCACTAACAATCCAGCTTGAAAACAGAGCAAACTTCACAGCCAACTTTTTTTTTTAAATAAATGCCCATCAATAAGCTAATTAAACTACTGAATTAAACTTTAATGAGTTTCCTTACTTGTGAGAAGCACACAAGGAAAGGTAACTCCAGCTTAGACACCAACAGAGCAGCTTACCCAGAAAAACCAGAAAGTGCTATTAGAGAAATCTGTTGAAAAATTAAAATTTTGCCCATAGCACTTACCAAACCCTACTGCTTCCACTAGAACAGATAAAGCAGCAAAGAAGGTTTCAAAAGATGCTTGCTACAAACCCCAGTGCATTCTCCTGAGGCTCTTACTTGGGCAGTTGCAGTACACTGATTTCACTGTGAGTTAGCACGTGCAGTTACAACTATTTATTGACCATAAACTGATGAGTTACTTTTGCCAATCAGAATAGTTTTAGGCTTTTATGCTAATTTAGAATCCTTTAGTTTGTTCAGAGAAACAACGACCCAAGGTGTGAACTGGGATGTTTTTTCTCATGACAGTGTACTTCAATCAGCTGTGTATTCTGTTAAATTACCCAGCAAGTCTCTAAATATTTAAGAAACCATAAATACACTACTGGTACATGTATGTACTGCCACGTATATATATCACCAGTTCGTTTTTTCCAGAGGCAAAGCTAGTGCCAGTTCCTGCTGTAACTTTGTGGTTAGTCTATAAAAGCCATCATAGCTTATTTTGTTATAGGAAACTACTGTCCATAACTCCAAAGAAAACAAGGTTAGTTCTGCAGTCTAACTCTATTACAGCATTTGCAGCTAAAGGAATGAAGCTCTGGTCAACCAAACACTTGGGTTTCTGCTCACATTTACAGTGAGAGTGAACTGCAGTGTAAAGTGCAAATGGTGTCTTGGTACTTGCCTCAAAAATGAGCAGTATCCTGGTGTCCCTGAGATAGCGTTCATAGGGGTAATCTTTCATATAGCCAAGGCCTCCAAGGATTTGCAGTGCCTCACTCACGCACGTCCAGGCACCTTCAGAGCTGAACACCTGCCATTGAACAGGACTTTAATCACCAGTAAACACAGAATACCAATACCCAGTAAATACAGGTTACACTGCTCTGGGTTTGTACCTACATAACACTGCTGCATTTTATTTTCTACTGCTGTTGGATTAGTCCTGTTAATTTGCCTGAAATAGTGTCCTATGTCTCAGGATGTATACTTTGGTCAAACCCAGTCCCCTTCCAATCCACAAGGAAGTTCCTCTAAGGACATATCCTGGGGCGAGGGGTGGCCACACACTGGCAGAAGAGCTGTAGCTGGTTGGATGGAGCTCTTCATGCTGCCCAGGTTCACCAGCACACGAGTTGTCTGCACTCATCACACCATGAGGGACCATCACCAGGGTCTAGAAACCCATGTGACCTCTGCAGGACTGTGCCCTGGGCAGGGGCACACCAGCACATACCACCTGCATCTTCCTCAGTACTTCCTTTGCAACCCGTTCTCAGTTGAAGCTGGGACAGAAGCACCTTGTGCAGGTGGGCAGCTGGAACTCTAACCAAGTGTCTTTGTGCTCTCATGAGGCCTCATCAGAACTCACCTCAGAGGGCCATGACACTCCCCAACCTGGTATCTGCACTTCTAATTTCCTACAGTGACAAAAGCCTGAGTCTGAGGGAACCAATGCTATGTGGGACACAGAACAGTACAGACAGAACAGTAATGGCTATTTTTTCATCCAGCTGAGGTTTTTCTATCATATGTCTAAATGCAACCCCTGAGCCTCTCAGCACTCTGGAACACAGACTGAAACACAGCAGAGGGATTTGTCTGTATGAGCTGAAAGCCACAGGCAAGTCCTCCAATAAATCTGATTACCTTGACCATGGCTGCCTCCACGGAGCAGTCTGGAAACCCTGGCCTGTCCATCATCCCTGCAGTGAGGTAAGCCATACTCTCCATTACATATGCTTTCATGGCCATAAAACAAAACTTCTCCTGTCAAACAGCAATGTGAGGAATCATACAGAAATTCAGATGCAAAATCCCACAGTCAGGCCTCAAACTTAAAAACACACCTGCAGTTTCCACATGTTGAAGACATAATCAAATATTAATTGATAAAAAGTACTACAGCAAAACAATCATGAACAATAAAATAAACCCCAGCTTGATTCATGTACCATTCTAGACATTTAAGAGATCGGTGTACAGAAGTCTGTGCTAAGTTTACACAAATTTAAGACTTATAGAAAATTCTTTAAACCAGCACAGCCAAAACACCCCCAGTAAAATCTATGTCCTTGCACTTGATCAATACAAAGCACAGAGATTTAGGGGTTTCATTTTTTATTACCTGAATTAATCCAAATTGGCTGAGTTTCTTATTGAATTGTTTCCTGGTACAAGCATACTCTGATGTCATTTCTTTAAAAAGAAGAAAAAAATCCATCTCAGAAC